GGTCAATGAAAACCTCCGGGGGGATCTCCATCTTTCTTGCAGAAGCTCTAGTTTTCATTACAAATGATACAGTCTGCCTTGAATAGCAAGTGACCCACCAGGCGGCAAAGTATAGTTACTGCCTGTAGCAGAATGGGTCTATGGCGTGAACTGGGGTCACAGTTGTGGGAAGGGATGCGCTGAGGTTTGGATGCAGGCAGAGAACAATTGCTGCTGCCTGTCCTTGATCCTAGAGGGGAAGCAGGAGCCTATGGGGTGTCCCAGGTTCAAGGGTGCTCGGTTATGACTGAGGATACCCTTTTGTGTGGGTGCTCACTGTTCTCCCGTATGGGATGGTGTACCCCCAACCCAGCCCGAACTTTCCTTGTGTACATGCTCTGATTCTATAATTTGCTATCTTTTAAACACCTTAATCTTCCATGTCCTTGCCATTAAGTATATTTTGACGATATTCATGTCAGCATACTTTTTAAAATTTACTGTTTGGGAGATCACATACTTTGAATATTGGAGTTTTAAAGAAAAACATGCTTGCAAGGCAATTCCCACCTCCCCTTCCAGGCAATGTCTAGTGAGATATTGGAATCATAGTATTTTCCAAAAGCAGTTTCTTTTTTAAACATTATTATTATTTTTTCATTTGGAAGTCAGAGTTAGGAGAGAGAAGAGAGCAATATCTCTTCCATCCTGTTGTTTACTCCTTAGGTGCCTATAATGGCTGGTGCTAGACTAGACCAAAGTCAGGAGCTTTAGCTGGGTTCCCCACAAGAGTGGCTGGAGCCCAAACTCTGGGGTCATATCCTGGTGCTTTCTCTAGCACACTAAGGAGCTGGTTCCCATATGGGATGTTGGTGTCACAAGTGGCAGCCTAACCTGCTATGCCATGACTCTGATACCTCAAAATAGGCTCAACATTTTTGTCAGGTTTTCACATGGACAACTAAATATATTACAGAACATTTTAGATAGTGTCAAAGACTAATTCAGCATTTTAACCATATTATAATGAAAAGCAAATTATTATTCAAGGTTAACTGACACAGAACCCAGGCTCCCAGGGAACCTAACGCCTCTAGATTTAAGGGGAGGGCCTTGTTCTTTTGACCTGGAGGGCAGGGAAGATCTTTGGAACCTCTGCCAGCTCCATTGGAGACAGAAATAGAAGCCGTAATTACTAACACACTGAGCAGTCGTTGGTCTGCCACGCGATGACTGTAGCTTGTTGCAAAGGTGGTCGCCTGCAGTCCTTGCTAACGCACTGGTATTCTCCCCAGTGTGGGTAGAGAGGAATGCCCGTCGGGTCCTGTGTTGTATACCTGTAAGAGGCAGGTTCAAGTTCACCTATAACCAAGGAGAGTGTGAAGAGCTGTGACTTGAGAGACAAGAAATCCTCTTGAATTAAATAAGATACCTCGTGAATCTTTTGAGGGCAAAGAATTCAGGGAGGCATGGGGCAGGAGCTGCTTGCTGTTACGGGTCAGCCAGTGTAGCAGCGGGGTAGAGAACCCTTAGAAGGTAGCTAGGCTAGCACAGAGTGATGGGAAAAGCCCAGAGAAGAGGCTGGGGTGGGATAGACACATGGTGAGGGCTTTGGCACTAAACGTGGGGAGACTTGATGATTTATTGTCTTTGAGAAGGAAAGAGGATTGAAGGCTCTCACCTAGACAACTGGGCTGGATGAAGGTGTTCTCTATGTCTGTGGTGCATGTGTGTGTGGGATGTGTGTGCATGTCGTGTTTGTATACACTGTGGGTTGAGCATGTTGGTTGTGTGTTGTACACGTGCATGCTGCTGGTTATATGCCAAGTATGTCATGGCCATCTTGTATGTGTGATTACTTTTGTATGTTGTGTGTGTGGATGCATCTACCTTATCTGCATCTACAGCTGTGTTCATCGGCTGTATGAATGAATGTGATATGGTGTGCATCACTGTGCATCACATGTCAGTTGTGTGTATCTGTCATGCGTATGTTTTAACAGTACAGTGCGCCAGAAACTGTTGACCACTTCACACATCCTACCTCTAATAGTTGTGAAGACAGCCTTTTAGGATCTGAGCTCTTAATGTTCTCACTTAGTAGTAAGGAAACTGAGGAACAGGGATGCTAAACATTGAGCCCCTGCTTAAAGGAACTGAGCTAGCTTAGGTCTGAAAAATTCCAAAGCCCTAATCTGTAAGCCAGCTATACCTTAAAAGAAGATTTACTTATTTATTTTGATAGTCTAATTGGAAAGTAAGATAGAGAGAGGGAGAGGGAGAGAGAGAACAACGTTCCATCTGGTGCTTTACTCCACAGATGGCCCAAGGGGCCAGCACTGGGCTGTGCTGAAGCCGGAATCCAGGAGCTTCATCTGGGTTTCCATGTGTATGGAAGGATCCTAAATGTTTGGGACATCTTCTGCTGCCTTTCTCAGGCTGTTATTTGGGAATTGGATTGGAAGTGGAGCAGCTGTGACATGAACCAGCATCCATATGGGATGCCAATATTGCTTTATCTGCTAGGCCACAATGACAACTCCCTATGCCAGTTATTGTTGCCTAAGTGTTTGTGTCAGAGTTCTCTGGAAGACTTGTGGAGTTACTGGCTTGAGAGTCTGGAGTGGGACTCATGGTTTTGCTTTCCTAGCAAAGAGATACTGACAGTGCTGGTCTGAGAAACATGTGAGAAACACCTGCTGTGTGAACTCCCTCCAGTCATCAGATACAAAGAACAGGGGTGAGGGGTGGAAGCACAGTAAATGCTGTTGTATTACTGAATAAAAATTGGACCAAGTACAGTTGCCAGCAAAACCAATATGGGGCTTTCAAACCGATAGTGTCAATGTGAGCTCATCTTCCTCAATGACTCATTGGGTGTTTGTTATAGTGAATCATATGCTATTAAAGAGGAAGAGGTAGCTTCCCACCAAGAAACTGTGTGTTACCAGTTCCTGTTAATTCTAAATAAGAGGATGGCGAGCATCTTCCCAGGAAAATGTAATATTCTGTATGGTTTTCTTTAGGCAGTCAACCTTTATTTCCCATGAAGCATTAATTCCCCAGAGACGTTCTGACAGTAAGTGCCAGTGTTGGATGATCAAGTTCATTGGGCCCCTGGGGCTGCACTTTCCCCTGAATAGCACCAGGGTCCTTGACTGTGACTGGGAGGTCAGCACTGCATACCTCAGAGGGTTTTTGATGGCTGTGTGAAATGAAATGTGGAGCTCCTCAGAGCAAGGTTCAGCATGTCTGTGCCAGTGGTGATAGAGTTTGTAACCCTTTGGCCCTTTTCCTATGTGCTTTTTCCCATGAAGGGCGAACAAGAGAGGGACTAAGGGTCGCTGAAAGTTGACTGCCATGAGCAACCAGTGCAATAGTTTGGCCAGCTCTGCCATTTCTTTGAAGGCTGAGGTTGTATGGGGTAGTGAGGCACTGGGGAAGATACAGCTGTTGCTGTTGACAATGACTTTTAGCATAGACAGATCCTATTTGCTGGCCTGCCATGGGCTTTGACAGTAAATACCTTGAGATTGACCTTGGTGGTAGGCTATGGTCTTGCCTGTTTCCTGGGTGCACCTCGATGGCTTTCCCCTGGTGACCTGAGTATTCATTGCTCCGGGTGAACCTTTCCAGGTTTGTCAGATTGGAATCCCATCTTGCAGAATCTGTGGAGTCCAGTTCTTGAGATCTGCTGCAATTTAATTTAGAGTGTAGTCTTTTGTATCTTCCAAGATGTTTTCCCAGAGGGAGCCCTTGCCACAGAGTTAAGGCCTAGGTGCCCGGCATGTCTGTGGTTTCTGCAGGGAGGTTGGGTCCTGAACCGTAGCAATGACTTTGTTCCCTGAGATCTCTTGGGGCTAAAGGAAGTGCGGCTTGAACTGCCTGCCAGGAGAGGGCCCAAGACTTCATTCTCTTCACTTCCCTCCAAGAATACCAGCTTTGGACACCTTACCATTCATTCTGCTGGGAATCTTACTGCGTAGCTCGTGTTGTCCGTTACATAGTGGTTGGTAAATCAAGGCCAGAAGAAAGTGAGGTGACTTAACAAAGAACATGCCACTAGAACATTCTACAGTGGGAAAGCAGCTCCAGGTCAGAGGAGCAAGAATTATTACTACAATACTCTTGTCAGAGAAAAATTAAGTAGCTCATAACATCCAGAAGTGTGTAGCAGGAATCCAGTCAGTCCTCTCGCCCTTTCTTTAAATCCTACTATACGCATGTTTCATGTTTTCAGTCTGCTTGGCATCCTCTTCTTGGTTTGTTTCTTGCCCAACTACATGATCCTTGTTTCTTTTGGCTGGGAAGCTTAGATGCCTGTTCAGCTGAGGTCAGGATCTGTCTGGAACTAGCACCCACCAGCTCCACTTCCCATGCTTGATAGAACATTCCCCTTTCCTTGCCAGTGCAGACACCTGGGCTCCATACAGACTACATTTCCGGTGTCAGTGATAAAATCAGGTATTGATCATTATTAGAGGTATCTACCGTGGATTCTTTGCTACATGTCAGGGGTCGTACAAAGTGCTCTGTATGGTGAATCTATTCTACCTCTCAGCACTTGTCAGTCACCTCGTAGGTCAGTCCTCATGTTGCAGATGAAAACACTGAGCATGAGAGGACATTAGTGAATGACACAAGGTCACATGCTAGAAAGGGGCAAAGCAAGAATTCTTGTGTCCTTGAACTGGAACGATGGACCTCTGGTTGGGGGAAGGCTGGTGCTGCCTGCACCTCCCAGAGGATAGGAAGCACAGGGGATCAGCTGGCTTTGGAGTCAGCACCCTGCATCTGAGTTCAATTCATTCCAGGAATGAGCTCCAACTCTGTTTTTCTGCAGAAAGGACCCTGAGCGATGGCACCCAGGTGGCTCATTCAGGTCTGGGGATCGTGCGTTTTTGTCCATATGAACACTGTCTGGCTTCGTGGCCTAGCGGCCAGGTTCTCAGTACTTTGCCACTTTCATCTCCAGCTGCTAATTTCTCTCTCATTTTTTCAGGTAATGAACCAGAAAGATCATGTCTGAAGTACAAGGAACAGTTGAGTTTTCTGTAGAGCTACATAAATTTTATAATGTGGATCTCTTCCAGAGAGGGTGAGTGTTTCACAATTTTTATTATTTAAATTTTTGTTTGTTTGAAAGTCAGAAGACAGAGATAGAGATATTCAAGGATTCTTAAAAAGGCTCACAGAAAATGCAAATTATGAAAAAATAAGGTTTGGATGTCATCAATTTTCACACCAAAATGAATCTACTTTAACTCGACTTTCCACAAACTTTCTAAACTTCCTTATGTTCACACAGGCAATACTGAAGTTGAAAGGGTGGCATTTGGCATGGTGGTCAAAGTGTCGTTTGGGTAAGGAAGGTCCTATTAAAGGTGTCTGTGTGCTGGACACTTGCTGGGCTCTCCAGCCTCACTGCACATGCAGTACTGGTGCCTACCTTGTCAATGAGTTGCCCCTTTCCTTAGGATGGACTCTGCATTGGGCATTGTAGGCATGATCACCGTAGGTCCTCAAGATGGACTTTGCTGAGCTTCACTGTAGGAAATAAAGGTGTGAAGTGGTTTCATAGAGTATCTAAGCATAGTCTAGACATGAGTGTACCTGGTGGCCACAGCTGCCTTCTCCATGCTGCTTATCAGGATGCCAGAATTCATAGAGAATGGTCTGTAATGTGCTTAACAGAGTGAATATATATCCAAAACAAGAGGTTTCTGTTAGTTTGCTTTTGCTGTGTGACCCATTAGCCTAAGACTTGGTGGCTTTAGACAACTTTCAGTTTAGCTCCTAATTCTTTTTTTTTTTTTTTTTTAAAGATTTATTTTTATTATTTTTTCATTGGAAAGGCGGATATACAGAGAGGAGAGACAGAGAGGAAGATCTTCCATCCGATGATTCACTCCCCAAGTGAGCGCAACGGGTCGATACTACGCCGATCCGAAGCCAGGAGCCTCTTCCGGGTCTCCCACGCGGGTGCAGGTTCCCAAAGCCTTGGGCCGTCCTCGACTGCTTTCCCAGGCCACAAGCAGGGAGCTGGAAGGGAAGCGGGGCTGCCGGGATTAGAACCGGCGCCCATATGGGATGCCAGGGCGTGCAAGGCGAGGACCTTTAACCACTTGCGCCACCGCGCCGGGCCCTAGCTCCTAATTCTAAGGGGAAGCAATTTGAACTGAGCTCGTCTGAGCGGAGCTACTCACTGGAACCAGTTGTGGCTAGTCTCAGCTGCGTTTGCTCAGAGCTCTGGAGCCCAGGGCAGGGAAAACTGTGACTGCCTCTCTAGGTTTGTCCTCTTGTAAGTCAGCCTACACTTACTGTATGGCAGCTAGGTTCTACTTGAAGCTGCTCTTGGGAACTTGCATGGAAATATTTTAATTGCATTCTACAGACCAAAGCAAGGTACAGGACAATTCAGGATTGATGTGTAGAAATAGAATCCATCTTCTGATGCAAGAGGAAGAATCCAAATAGATTGTTTTTAAAAAAAAGATTTATTTATTTGCATTGGAAAGGCAACTTTACAGAGAGAAGGAGAGACAGAGAGAAACATTTTCCATCTGCTGGTTCACTCTCCAAGTGGCAACAATGCAGAAGTTGACCCAATCTGAAGCCAGGGGCTTCTTCCAGGTATCTGAAATAGGTGCAGGGTCCTAAAGCTTTGGATCATCCTCTACTGCTTTCCCAGGCCACAAGCCAGGAGCTGGTTGGGTAAGTACAGTAGCTGGGATACAAACCAGCTCCCATATGGGATCCCAGCATGTGCAAGGTGAGGATTTTAGCCACTGAGTCTTTGCATCAGGCCACAAACACATTTCTCATGGTTTACTGTTAAAGTTAGATGTCAGTTTCCAAAGGTTAGCCCTGAAATGAATGCTGCAGGTTCCTTTGTAGGTAAGTGTAAAATTCAGTGAGACTGGATGGTTCAGGTAGGCCAGCTGAGCCAGGCAGCAAGAGGAATGAGAAGTGACTCTGGGACCAGGTCTTTGTTTCAGGTAGGAAGACATGAGATGCAGTACTGGATTCAGGGACTTGGCCTCAAGGAGGTAAAGTTCTGTGCACCCCCTGGAACCTCTGTTCCTGATGGCCCATCTGTCCTCATTTGATTAGAAGTAGTTGCTGCAGCTATGAGACCCTCCACTCTTCCCTGGACTTGGTTCAGTACTTGTGAATCCAGGCTGTGCTCCTATTTCTGGGAGCCCCTATGGTATTCATTCTGTGTTGCTGTTCAGCAGCCTTATCACAGCAACCTCACATTTGTAAGATAAGTTTTGATAATAGGGATCTTCTCACTCTCCACTGACTTTATCAGCAGCCTGAGAGGAAGCAGTGCTCTCTTCATTTTGTAGCTTGGTTACTTGGGATTTGGAAATTGTACAGGCCACAGATTTAACATTGCCAAAAGGTTGTGGGTGCTGAGGCTAAACCTTTCTCATCCAAAATCTTGCAGTATTTTCTAGTATTTAAAAACTTGTCTCCGAAGTGGACTGCATGCTTCCCCATTGTGTGCAAAATAGCAGGATGGAAATTTCAGAATTTCTGTTTACCATTATTTAGTCATATATCTCTAGTAACTAGAATTCAAGTTGACCCTAAAAACCTTGCCTTGTCTACATGGCGAATAGTCATGAGTTTCACTCAGTAACTGAGCTCTAAAGAACAAAGAGGTACCTGTAGTATAAACAGGCAATGTCATTCTTGTGTTGCAAGATGCAGCTGTTTGTGACTACCCAGTTGTGTGTATCTGTAAATTGTTTCCTAGTTTCAATTACACAAACCCTCATGGAACTCAAAGGGAGCAATGAATCAAAGGCAATGTTGATAATGGAATTGAACGCAGTTATCACACTAAGCAGATCCAACTAGTAGTAGGCTAAGAGATTTGAATGTTCCTAAAAGTCATTTTCTATATTTTAATCCATACTCTATATACTACATTTATAAGTAAATATACGTATTTGGGGGTGTATGTTTAAGAATGTTTGCATGATAACCATGCATTTCATCAATGGCTAGAGACTATTTTTTGGAAGATTGGTGACCTTGGTCATTGCATGTAGCTCTTTGTGCCAGCATGGACTTGAGAAGTGTACATTTTAAAGCACATATGTCACATCTGGATAATGGCATCGTCTTGTGATTGAACATACGTGAGAATGGGATTCATGTCAACTACCTCTGTGGACAGGCTTGGGTATGGTTTGGGTAAAGGAAATTAGACCTCTCAAGGGAATGCAATGAGCTCTAAGATCATTGATTTCTGATCAGCCTAAAACATTCACGTTACTATCCACCAGCCCCCTGGATTTTATTTTCTAGAAACGATAGCCAGGCCAGGCATGATGCCAGGCTTGTGTTTTACCAAGGGAGTCACAGAGTCACGTGATTATTGAGGCTCAAGCACTAAGGACATTTTTTGTTGTTGTTGCTCTGCTCAGAATCCTGTAGAATACATGCTAAGAATGAAATGTAATTACTTTAACCAGCAGGTGTTCCACGTAGATGGGATGGTATATTTCTAAGCCTGGTGGCAATAGGGGACCCTTGGGATTTAGTGTCAAGGAAAAGGAGTGATCTCCTGCTGTTAGTGAGGAAGCTGGGCCATTATTTGGTTGCAAGGTTCATGATCAGATGTGTGCAGCTGGGGTGGCAAAAATTAGGGTCAGTGATTGCAAGAGAGGAAGTCCTCTTCCTCAGATAGTGGCTGACTTTGGTCACTCCCATTCCACCTGAGTTCTCCAGTTGATGAGAAGTGCTCCTTGTCCCTCCATCTTGAGGCTTGAGCTCATTGTTGTCTGAGGTTTTGTGAGAGGCTGTGTTGGAAGTACATGGATACAGGACTCAGACTAGCACCTGATGCTTGCCATGATCCAGATGTTACTTGCTCTGAGCACGGTTATATCTATGAACATTTTTCATTTGCTGAAAGCACTCTGCCTTTCGGTGATGTTTCTTGTGTGCACATACTCAGCTGATTCAGATTCAGAAAATAGTTAAGATATGTTCTCAAAAGAAAATCCTTTCCTCAGATCAGTTTAAAAATATCATGAAGCATTGCTTCTACTTTCAGCAGTAAGACCCTGCTTGTAGGGTCAGGCCTGAGTGAAAAGCCATAATCTGCCCATATGACTTCAGGGGACTTGGGAAAGTGTCTTGTAGACACACTGACCCTGCATTGTGTAACTGTGAAATGGTTACAGCAAGCCTACATCAGGAAGTGTTCAGTAGTGTATGTCCAGTAGGTGCTGTCTTCACTGTTTCCACATCCAGGACAACGCCATTTCTATTCTGCCTTAACACTCTCAGTGAAGCTGTTGTCCAAAAGGGTTGGTGTGACTACCTCACTTTCCCTGACTGAACATTCCCTAGCTTCCTTTTGGTCTCCATCCTCTGCCCAGCACTCAAAACCTGAATTATTTGACCTGAAACGTCTTTATGTTTATGCTCAACATGTTCTTGACCTCCAGGGCCCTGGAATCTGCCTTGAGCATCCTAGCCTGAGTGAGGTAGGGGTGCTTTCAGGAAGCAGAACCTGCCTGAGAGACCGCAGATGGTCACTGTGGCAGAGTGAGGAATAAGAAAGGCAGGGGGCAGGAAACAGAGGCTCTGAGTTTCTGTGTTTGTTTGCTGATGGCAGCAGTCTTTTATTAGACTTGAGGGTGTGCACATGCTGGTGTCCCTGTCACCAACTGCTCAAGAAGGAACTGTTAAAACGAATGTAGATGCTATCTCATGTGGCTTTGTCTTCTCTTCAGTAAATGCAAGAGGCTCTCATCTTAGGAACTTAGTATCGCCATGCCCAGCAGAGGGCCCGGCACATGCAGGAAAACACACTTAGATTACAGCTCAACAGCTCAATCTTACCCTTCCTTCTTTGAAAATATCAATTGTAGAGAGGCTGTGGGGGTCTGTGGAATGAGGTCGGTGGAGAGAAGGTCCTGCAGTCTTTGTGTCCTGTTGAAGGAAGTGTTCCACAGTGTGTGGCCCATGGGCAACCAGCATCACCACTCCCTGGAGCTTGCTACAGCCATAGCTTTCTTCCCTAAGGCTCAGACCTCTGATTGTGCAGTCAGGGGATCAGGGTTTAACTTGTTC